AATTTAGCAGACGAAGAGAAGACAAAGATAAGGGATTAAAAATTGCTTTAGCAGCAAGCTTTGCTTTAAAAAGTGCTTGGATCCTTCTGGGAAGGTGAAGAGAAGAAACCTTGATGTTTGCCAGGAATGGCGGGGAGATATGTGATGCTTACTTTATATCTTTATGTGAAATACGAGCACTAAACGTTCAAGTGTACTCTCCTCCATACCATGCATGAGGGATATACTGACAGTATTTCCTTTGGTGGCTGGATGAAATGACAAGGGTGGTGATGCTGAGTAAGATTTGGGCTGAGGGAAGTTGAGAAGCATGTGAATAGACAAATGCAAGTGGGGCACACACACACTCAGAGAACCTGAAACACCACATAATTTTCACATGGTTGGATTCATCTGCCTGTTGTCTGTTATCATTATTTATGATTTAATGCAGTAGTGCTTCCTTTCTTGGCCAGGTAGCCCACACACGCTAAATTAATAAAAACTTTGTATTTATTGAACAGTTGGCCAGAGAATAAACAAGGTATCATGTGTAAACAAAAGAAAAAGAGGGAAATGCAGTAAGCTTTTCAGGGTATTTTTTTTTCCAATTATTTACAGTTCTAATACAGCTTTAATTGTCTAGTAAAGATTAAATTGAATCTTTTTAGGAAATCTTAGAATTGTCTGTGTCCTGTACTACTCTGTCCTTGATCATCTTTAAGGGCATCCAGGTTGTTTATTACCTTCCTATTTCCATAAAACTTTAAGGTTTTCAACTAGATTTTAAATTTTCTTTAAGTTTGTGGGAACTTGTTTGTCTTTGGTTTGAATTGCTGTTGTGCTGTATTGCTGTTTCTTAAGTGATTTTTTGCAAGTTTGACATGTTCCTATTGCCACATTTCTTTAGTTTTACAGTACAGGTGCGTGAAGAAAAAAGGCTGTGCAAATGACTTCCTCCCTAAAGTAGAACTGAGATATCATCGTTTTGGTAGTTGGAGGGGAGAGAAGAAAAAAAAAAAAAAAAAAGAAAAAACAAAACAAAACAAAAAACCCCAACAACCTTGTTTCAGTGAGAAGAGATTTGAGTGGGAGGTGAGATCAGAAGGGAGACAATGATTTTGGGAGGTCTTTGAAGAATTTATGGAAATGTCATCAAAACCAGTTGTCTTACCAGTCTTACCATAATGCTTCATTTATTCCTAAAGGACATACGCTTCACCTCTCCCTACAACATGAGCTTTATACCAAGTTCTTCCTGACTGGAACTTGGGTCCTTACAATGCATAACTTGATTCATACAGCAATGGAGATGTTGTCTTTTTGTCTGAAAGGGAAGTTGTTCTCTGGCAGCTTTTATGCCTCTCCAGCACTCCCCTAGTGCTCTGCATACCAATAGTTGTCTTGCAGCACTTCACAAAAAGTACAATGGACATAGAGTAGATCAGAAAAAAATCTAGGGAGTATATATATGTCAGTATATCATCAACTTGAATCTTTTTTCTGTTCATGAGGTAAGACTGAGAATAGCATGGGGAGGGAAAAGATTAAAAGTACTTCTAGATCCAAGAGCTTGTCCTTATTGTCTTACTTGGAAAAGAAAGGTTTTTTATTTCATGCTGGTTTGTATTTAAGTATGAGGGTACCTTTCCTATATTCACACAAACAAAGGATGAATCTAATGCAATGGAGTGTATTTGCAACGGTGGTATGACTACTTGAGCATTTCACCGCTCGCTTTAGTTGGCCAGGATACAACTCCTGCAATGAAACATGCAGATTACCCATTCACGAAGAGCAGATACTTTGAATTATATCCATGAAGGGACCTGGAAGCATCAGTGTCATTTTAGGTGCAAATCAGGCAGCATTCAGGGCCAGGAGCTCCTGTTCAGCTGTTGTTTAGCTCTCTATAGTATGTGCTGTCAAACTGTTCAGATTCCTACCTAATGTCCTGCAGGGTGCTCAAGGTAGGTGATTTTGGTCTATGTGGTCTGCAATACCCAGTTAGGTAGGAGTGCTAAGGATAAGTTTTGGGTGGAAGGGGAGGTAGAGATGGTTGCTATGCCCACTACAATCATGTTCAAAGCACTCACAAATGTATGTGGCAATGGTTTTAAAATTATTCTCCTGGCTCAACTTAATACAGGAATGGTTTTTCCATATGTAGCTGCCATGTGTACATTGGGTCAAGTTGTTCTCAATTCTTCTTAAAGACCTTCCATTTTACTTAAATAATTAGTTATTGAGAAACACTTCTTTAGTAGTCTGTTGGTTGGGACTCTGCCCTGGATTCCAGTCCCTTGTTCCACATCAGTCAGAGTGAAAAAACCATGCCTCCGTGGCCCCATTGCTTGCTTAACAGGGATCAGATGACAGTGAAGTGTCCTTTCTCTTTCCCATGAGACAGGTTGGCTTGCTGTAGGTTCCTGATTCCAAAAGTGATTTACAGCTGAAAATCCGAACTGGAGAAAAGCTCATTGTGTTTAAGGTACTTCACAGCACTCCAGGCTGCTGCTCAGCACTGCTTATGCTGCATTTAGTTTGCTTTCTGCTAGCTTTGATTTGCCTATGCCTTGCCTGGGCAGCCTGCATGCCTAACCAATTTAATGATCCCATTCTTTAGTGAAAGGCCTGTAAGTCAGGAGTTAAGGACATAGGAAAACTGTTAAATAAAACATAAGCGAATTCAAAAATAATCATTTACTGGACATTATGAAAGGACAGTAAACCAAACAGTTCAGTCCAATGGATGATGTATAACATCTAAACAAATATGACAACTAATTAAGGATTATGTTCTGCATTTTGGATGACATGCCTTATAAAAATGAACAGTTAGGTTATGTTGGGGGAAAAAAAAAGCAGCTGTGTTTTGCAAATGTCAGGCAGACAGCTCAGTAAGCAGAAAAGCTCAGTTATCCAATTAAAATAAATGTGCAGTTTTCTCAATATAAAGAGCTAAAGCATCCTTATGTTGAGGAGTTAAGATCCTGAAATATAAGTGGAGCAAGAAGTGCTCTCTATAAAGATTAATGTAATCTATCAAGATTAACATTTTGCATGCTGGCAAAGGCAGATAGTAATGTGTTTCAATTCCTGAAATTGGAAACATTAGACTAAGATCAGTACCAATTTAAACCCCAGGTAACCCCAAATATTGAATTGAATTCATTATTTACAACCACGATGGGCTAATAAACTTGCCCTAATGGCTTCTATGGGAAATACATACCTACAGTAGGTGCTATCTTATTTCCCATAATCCTCTCTGATACTTCATGGGAAATGTAATAACAAGTTGAATAAATGTAATTTAGGGAAAAGTCTTCCACTTAAAGTAATTCCTGATTTATTCAGGAGTTTCATTCCTGTCCTAAGAAAGATTAAGGATGTTTTTCAACATTGTTGTGTGCATGGGTGTCATGAGAGAGGCCACAAAGGTCCAAGACCCTCGGTGTGTTTAATCTCATTTTTTGTTGTTGCTTTCTAACAAAAGGAGGTTATTGCATAACAGTGGAAGGGATCACACTAACTATTAAACTAGAGACTGGGTTGCACTTTCATTGTAGGAAAGGAGAGTCCTCTATATAGATCTCCATGATAACAGTCAGCAGAGCATATCTTTGTTTTAAGCCAAGATTTAAACCAGCCCTTTAGTATAAGTCTCCAAAATAAGAGTTTCTAAGGCTGGAAACCTATAACCACACACAAATTTTCTAAAAGGATATTCAATTCAAGGCATTTGCAACAGAATTAACATGAAACATATGGATTTTCTGGTGGTTTATAAAGCAGAAAGCAGAATATTAGTACGAGGGAGGCTTTAGAGGCTTTACTAGGGGTATTAAAATGAAAATCAGGTTTGTGAGGTGCCTGGTTTATAAAAAAAAAATCTGTCAAATGTTGAAATAGGAGGTGAGAATCTCAGCTCTGCAGTGCTTGAGAAAGCATGGAAGATCATGGCTGTAACACTCCCACCTCTGTTCGATTTTGCCACCCACAGAATTGCCACTTTTTTTTTTTTTTGTGAAGTGAGCAGTTGCACTTGCAACTC